AAGTTTCAAATACGTGTTGCTGTTATTGTATCTGTCCTGAATAATTCATTTCTCTGTACAATTATCTAACTTTTCTTTTTGATCAAATTGAATTTACTTTTCTTTAAAGTAATTGTAGATAAAGAGTTTTTATAATAATAAATGAGAAGCAAAGTGAAATGAATAATGAGTACATTCACAACTCGATAAATGAACATGATAAAAAACACTCAAGTATTTTAGATTAACATTCAAACACATATAAAAGAAATAACATTAAGAATATATTTTACTGAGAAACAAACATTGAATTCAAATAACTGAAAACCGCAAGAAATACTCAGTGAAAAGGATCCTGGTTAACGGTATATTCATCTAATGTGGGAACTGCGCGACAGGAAGAGCGTTGACTATAGATGCAAGCAATTTAGCAATTGCTAGGATGCCGGGTAGATTGTCGCTAGTGCATCTGATAAAGCAGCTGTATCACACCTGATAGATTACGAAGAATAACTAATTGACATACCTATACACGTAGTGACGTTCAAACTTAATTAAGTTCCTTAAAATAAAAGCGTCGAATAAGCAGCAACTTTAAGACGATTTCCTAAGGAAAAGTGATATACTTTTAGAATATTTAAAGTTGAATATACTAAAATTGATTATTATATTAAATTTTCTATAAAAGTAGCTAAATTGGTTCAAAGTGCGCTAGTTTAATTCATATAAATGTTAATTAAAGATATTTTAGTATTAATTAAATTATCAACGTTAACACATTAACATTTAACACTTTTATATAAATTTAAATGATAAAGGTGTAGAAAGTTAAATAGTTAATTTCCTTTAATTAGATAAAACCATTATTTTGTTTATAAATCGATCAGATCCTGACGCGCCATATTAGTTGGTAAGCGAATATAGCAAGTGTAAACAAAAAACACTTTTGGATGACTAACTGTACTTCCTTAGATGGTTATCTCAATATGCAGAAAAACCCTGAAAGGTCAGCCGGACCTTGGACTCTGACTTTATTGACAACACTCATGGCTGCGGTGACCTCGGATTCTCTAAAGATTTCATGAGTTTTTTTTTTAAGAATTCGTATGTCTTTTAGGTGGCACGTGTGCATGTCTATGTTGCAAGAATCTTAGGCTTTATTCATTACTTATATGCTGGTGTTATATTCACACTTGCATTAATTCATTATTTGAGAACAATCTAGATTGGCGACTTTGCGGCTTATTCTATTAAGTTTGTGATAAAAAAAAAAGCTCTATGTGATTGATAAGCATGATCAAAGTTATAATTTTTGTCTTTGCAGACAAAACAGTTTCCATAACAATTTTGAATATTTGACATATGACATGGCCGGAATTTGTGCCCAAAAAATATATATACTGTGGGTTATATTAAAGCTTATAAGTATGTCTTTACAATATAACAAATTATTTCTGAAAAAGAATCGAGAGGCACCATAACAATAATATAAAAATGATACTTCAGCATTTCTATTATCTAGATATGACTTGGTCACGGCTTCCCGAGTCTCAACCCCAGGGGAGGATACACCGTAGGGGTTTTTGTGGGTAGGCCTTCGGGTGCCCTCCGCGCCGCTATCCACGTTGTGGGTTCACGTAGGAGAGTCCCACCTGTCGCTTGCCAGGCGGCAATACGTAAAAATATGTCTAGGTGTTACTATTTTATGGCATATTTTGTCGCATGTTCTAGATTATGTTAAATCTAATTTTTACCAATTTATAATTACTGTACATTTTATTCGATTCTATGGTCAGGATCGGGTCATGTTATTTAAGCAATAACAAGGATGTGTAAAATTGTAAGTCTAACTTAACTAGAAATAACTAGAAAGCTCATTAATCAACTTAGAAATTATTATAAAGAGGAAAGAATTTATTGTTTATGGTCCCGAAGCCATTCCAACACAATAATACAAGCGATTGAACTTCTGAAACAATTTTAAAAATTCTCACCTACTGGCCTCTTATTTATACGGGCGACGTCGCAGGAAAACAACTAGTAATTTTATAGAAAAAGATTAATTGAGACTTGTTAAGGACAGGTTACATGTGCATCATCGTTCGTTACAAATTAATAATAAAATACTATTTTGACAATAATGATTCACTTTTATAATAATGCGATGGGATCGGAGTGGGCTTGCTTACGGTTCACTAGCCTGTCGTCTGACTTTGACGTCATAGTTTAGTGTGTGTATCTATGCACGTCTATCGAGATTTTAAACAGTAATACATTTGTTGTAGCATTTTTTTTTTAACTCGACACCATGTATTGAAATTACAAAATCTTGCACATTCCCTCTTACTAATAATTATTTGCTCGGAGTAGCTTGGTGGCGTAGTGAATAAGCGCCGCGTTACGCGATCGTTGTCGTTAAGCAACTTTCGCAAGGGTCGGTCACGGGATGGGTGACCAAAAAATTATTATCTCGAGCTACTCCGTGCTTCGGAAGGCACGTTAAGCCGTTGGTCCCGGCTGTATTTGTAGTCGTTAATACCCGCCAATTCGCATTGGGCCACCGTGGAGGGTCATGGCCCATGCTCCTTAACCATTCATAAGGAAGGCCTGAGCCCCTGCAGTGAGGACGAAATAAAGGGCTGATGATGATAATGATTAATAATTATTTGTATATTAAATAAAATTAATTATGACCAGATGTGACGCGTTTGTATTGAAAACCATTTTAGACGTTTCGGATTGTTTTGAAATCTGGTCAAAAGAAGTTTTATTTAAAGAGTAGTGCGCATGAAAATATAAGTAACCAGTATTTATATATATATTTTTTGTATACGCGTGACGTAAGCCGTCAGTGAGTAGACTGGAATAGTGTCCTCAAGGTGTGACCTTGCGCAGGCGCCGATCAACTTTCCACCCGGAAGAGACTCTGTGCCATTTTTGTCGCTGAGCCTGAACGACTTATATCCCTATGCCTTTATTTGGGCAAAGCTTACTTGTAGCTTTGCTTTAGTGTCATGATCAACTTCTGTTCGTTTTACTTCAGGGGTTGAAAACTTTCCTGAATACTAAATGATGAGTATTGATTTTAAGACTAAACAATCAGTAATATGCATTTTTATTGTGATGAAATTTTTTATGTAGACACGGCAGAATATCATATAATAAGTATGTTTTTTTACAAATGATTTTCACATTTTATTGAAACTAAAAATAAATTTACCGATGCTGCAGTTAAAAGTGCGGTGTCTGAGCACATAAGATCTAACAGAAACCGCTGTATTAAAATTTAATGAAACAAATGGATTAAGATAACATATCACAAAAATAATAAAACGGAATCTTCAATACTATATTTAGCTTGAAAAAATAAGGAAAAAATAAGAGTGACTCTGCGCGGGGCCTTGGCTCGCCACTTACGAATTGAGCCGGCGAGGTCGCGCCGCCTTCCGTCTGCAAACAACGTTGGGTGGAACTGATTGAATTATGGCGAACTGATTGCTGATGCGCCGCAGTTGACTACACCGAATAACCAGAGGGTCATCGTATGCTCTTCAGGTGCATTATGATGTTTAACGCCTTTACTACACCGACGCAATCGCATGCGAATGCGTAACATTGGCAAAATCTTGTCAGTTGTATGGCAATGTAACATATTTGTTTTGTCTCGCTCTATTATTAGCTCGATGAAATAACGGCGTCCTTTTCTGTACGGTTTCGCAGTCAACTGCGAAAAAGTTCGTTGCGCTGACGCACATGTTTCGCATTCAAGGTTGCCACCCGTCCCGATTTTTGACGACTATCCGAACATCACGAAATTTTTATAATATTTGATCAATTTTGCGTTCACAATGCTATACTGGAAAATATTCTTAATGAACAACGCCCACGTCATTGAAATGCCAATGTCCATGTGAAGAAAATTATTATGATATATAGTTAATACAAAAATTATCTTTTACAAAACTTCTAGCTTAATATATTTAATGAAACATATTCCTTAAATTTAATGTAACTATTAATGTGCTATTAATGTTATATCTGTGCTACTATTAAAGGCAACACAGGGAAAATTACTAAATTTAGGGAAATACAATTTATTTGTATATCTAATAGGGTCAGTTTCAACTTATATCTTGTATTTTACCTAGTAGAAAGATAACTAAATTAGTTGAAATGTACTAAAATATGAAAACATTACATATAATACATACTATTAAAATATTAATATTAAAAAACTACACACGATACTGATTGTTTCGGTGTTCGTTATTTTCATTTGCAGAAAAAGTTGCCCAACACTTAATACTTTAGGAATTAATATCTTGACAAAATAACATAATATCACATGTGACAACTCAATATACCGTATCACTCGACCGTACGATTATCGGTTCGCATCCGTAAAAAAAAAATTTTGGAGCTGGGCGACAGTGGTTTTCTCATCGACCTATTTTTAGTTTAAAACATTCTTAAAAACTCATTTTTTACTCACTTTGAAAGTATTGTTGTTTAATTCGATACATCTTTGTGTGCTGTCGATACTTTGCGATATATCATAGAGTTAAATCGATATTTCTTAAGTCTACACGATATATGCGATAGATTTATAAAAATCATTGCATCACAAGCTTTCCTCGACCACTTTGGTGCAGGCCTCCTTTAATCCATTTGCCTGCTGTTTGTATTCAATTTTGTTCAGGTGACAGAACAAAATCTTGGCATGATTCTTCCATCTCATCTGCAGTCTGCCAACTCTGTGTCGTTACAATCTCCATTCATTCCAGATCTTTGTAACATGAAAATTATGGCATTGCGTTCAAACAAGTCTAAGCTTTGAGTATCTCGCCTTGGTTTTTCAAAGATACATTATGCACATAGTAAGTTTTCAGGCGGTCATCTCAAACCACAGAACACAGATTTATAAATCTTCATATTTCAGCCAAACAATGATCTTCTTTTTTTATATGTTAGATAGGCAAGCACTTGACCACAGGTCACCTGATGGTAAGCAATGCAGTAGTCTAAGATGGAGCGTGCTTGCCTAGAAGGAACCGATTCACTTTTGACTTGAAGAGTCCCAGACTGTATTTGTCCGGAAACAGCGAGTCCGGTATCAAATTCCACAGCTTCGCAGTTCGCACGATGAATGTAGAGGCGAATCGCTTGGTGTGAGGTTGTGGTATCTCCACAGTAAAGCGGTGACGCTTCCCAGTACCCCTGGGTGTATGATAGATCTATACACCAAAATCTTCCTTAAGAGGTACTTACTCTTTCCATTAATAAAAAATGCGGAAACATCCATTCGGCAGTTGTCGAGTTTTGCGTTTTTAGCCAGGCAGGCAAACTAGGTGAGGGGAATGCGTTTTGTAATAAGTATGATGGATGCAAATGCTTTTTTAAACCATTCGGATATAGTTGTTATAGTATAAAGATTTACAGTGTCTTAACTGGGATTCTTTCTGTTCCTTCGTAATCAGTTAAGTAAATAGGTATATTCCAAACACGAAAAACCTCGATTTCACAAAACCAGTTTAACAAAAAGTAATTTGATGTCATGAAACGATACGGCGACGAACGCAGGTACCATGCCAAATGATAGGTGATACGATCAAAATACTAGAATAAAAAATAACAAATCAAATTATAGCTATTCTAGTTATAAAAAATATTTCTTTGAAGTTTTTAAAGAAGGATTTCTTAATTTTGATTTACAAGACCATTTTTTTAACTATAAAAACTAATGATAATATCTTGAAAATGTCCGTTGACGCTCACATTACGACCCTATATAAAATATCTGTGAGTGTAGACATATTTTGTTGTTCTCTGAGTGAATTCTCAAAAACGGCTATGTATAAATATTATGTTATACCTAGATAGAAATTGGAATAATTATGTACTATAACTTATTAACTTTGTTGCGTAACTATTGCATTGGGTCACGTAACCTATAATAATAGATTAAGTTGTGTACAAATAAATAAATATTTCTGTATAATAAATCGAATATGATCAAAGATATTATCTACTTTCACATAAACTAGCTTTTGCCCGCAACTTCGTTTGCGTGGTATTAGTATTTACAGTTATTTATTTTTTACCAACTTTAAAAAATCAGAATCACTCAATCTTATGTCCATATTGGACTTTTATTTTGTTTAAAGATTATATCTTCAAAATAATTCCATTAACATAAACGAAAAGACCTAAAACTTAAACCAAACTTTGACGAAATTCGATCTGTACATTTGTTTTAATATAAAAAAAAACTGAGAGAACTACCTCGTCTAATGGAGTTTTTTCTTTAATCGGATTTTTTAAAATTTCTTAATTTAATATTTTTGCTTAATTTCTTTCTTTATATTTTAGGTATTTGATTACCTTGTCATTTGTATTTTTCTTTTTCCCTCGTCTTTTTTACTTTGATCTTATCATTAATTTTTTTTAACTTAATATACTATATTATACATTTCTATGTTTTGGTTTTACATTTGTCCTAGTATCTATCTTACATCTATTGCTATTTACTATTTGTGTATATCTTGTTTTTATGAATTTGTACATACATATATACATTGGATTTGCATGTTTATATTCTAATAGCTTTTGCCTGCGACTTCGTCCGCGTGGTAAAGATACTTTATGCAGCATTTCTAACGAATATTTATTAATTAAAAGTTACCCAAAAAGTATCTAAAATAAACTTTCATCCCCTATTTTATCCCCTTAGGGATGGAATTTATCAAAAATCTTTCTTGGGGACGCCTACGTCACAGTAGCTTTATGCATGCAAAGTCTCAGCTCGATCGGTTTAAAATTGAAAAAGTTTCATACAAACTTTCATCCCATATTTTATCCCCTTGTGGTAGAATTGATCAAAATCCTTTCTAAGGGGGTGCCTACGTCATAGTAGCTTTATGCATGCAAAGTCTCAGCCCGATCGGTTTACAATTGAAAAAATTTCATACAAACTTTCATCCCCATATTTTGTCCCCTTGTGGGTAGAATTTATCAAAATCCTTTCTAAGCGGATGCCTACGTCATAACATCTACCTGCATGCCAAATTTCAGCCCGATCCGTCCAGTGGTTTGGGCTGTGCGTTGATAGATCACTATGTCAGTCAGTCACCTCTGAGTTATATATATTTAGATTGACGGATGTTTTGCTACTATAAGTGAATAATACTGTTCCTGTTTGAACGCTAAGATCTTCTAAATTATACAAAGAATGTTAATTCGTTTTTTATCAATATACAGAGTGATTTAAGTATACAGGACCACGCGGGCACAGTTGCTGAAGGAAATCTAATTAGCAATTATATTTTAAAAAAATCAAAATGTTTATTCATTCTAATTTTAAAGAGTACATAAAGTAGTAGTTGCACAAGATAAAGAAAACAATATTTATAAAATTTACAATAAATTCATGCGGAAATGTATATGTGTGTGTTTGTGCGCGTGCGTGCATTTGCTTTAGTATTGATGTAATTCTATGTATTTATGTTTATTAGTATTTATTTTATTTTATCAGATTTTCGATTTCATTATATGCTAAAGGGAGCAACCATTCTACTAAGAATTATTTACAATTATCGCACGTTGAGAACGATAGTGACACAATGCAAAAAATGCGATTTTGAGTAATGAGCGTTTAAAGTTCAAGCAATTGTAATCAGCCCGCCCCTCTAAACAACGTATCGTCACTACGCCACCTAGCAGTTTCTATGCAAGCTACGTCCACAGGGATCTTTGCATTTTAAAGTTTATACTTAACAAAGAAAAATGTTGTCAAAAGTAAAAAATATGTCGTTTTTGGTTAGTGACATTGTCATTCTCAACGTGCGTTATATGTTTTTAATTTATAAATGCCAATTTTGTTATTTAATTTATTATATATTAAAAGGGCAAGTGCAAAATTTTGTCGTTTCGCTAAGGCCGCTTTGATACGATAAACCTCAGCAACGTTATCGTTTCTTCGTTTGGTTGACTTATTTGGCTGAAAGTTCAATTACTTATGTAGTTTAAGTATATTATGTAGTATAATATATTATTCATATATCCCGTGTATAAAACCAAGTTGTGAATTCAGTTACGCACCTTTCAACGCTTTTTCAACCAATCATTAACGATATATTCATGTGTTAATCGGAGATCAGCATGCGTATCATGTACACTGCTGACTCCTCGTTCCGTGTAATCAGAGTACTCTACACAAATACACCAATGGTTGCCCACAGTTGGCTTATAGGTGAATAATAAATACTGAACACTTATACAAGGAATGAATGTTTGAGAAGAATCTTTGAAATAGGTAATATATATATTTTTTTATATAAGCCATGATTTTTACTTTATTTACTTCCTACAGACCATGAGCTCATTCAGCGTGTAACTATCTGATCTTACTATTATTATACGATTTGTTGCACACGCCCCCTTTTAATGTATGGCATCACCTAAAGATTAAGTCATAATCAATCACCTGTTCGAAAATATCCCACGTGTATGTACGTACTTGTTAAACTAAGAAAGAACAAAATTAAAGTTACGTTACTAACAACTGTCTTTTATGATATAACTTTAATTAATTATTTATCTGTGCGTTCGATGTCATTTTAACCTTTGTCTGCTTGTGTAAAGAAGGTGCTTTGTGCACAAAAAAAGACAATATACGTAAAGTACAAATAAACTGTAAAAGAAAAAATATATGTCAATGACGTAATTTTAATATGTAAATAAATATATTTTCTATAAATTGAACGATATTCAATTCCTTATTTTAGCGTTATTATTTATTACCAAATTATTGAATGCCTAAAATAAGATCACAAACAATCATCAATACATTGCTTAGATCAGTATCCACTTGTGTTATTGAAATCAGAAATGAATGTATATTCATTTCAGATTCGAGACAATATAGAAATTATTTTTCATTGACCCAGCTGGAAATCGAGCCCGGTTCCTCAAATTTTGTGATATTAAAACCGGCGTTTAAGCCATACAACCACGGAGGTTATTTATAACACTAGGATGTGGCTCTAATATTTAGTTCTCAAGAAAAGTACTTACCAGGAATCCAGTGAATGTAATATCGCTGATGTTGACGACGCCGACTTTGAACACATTTGGTTTGGACCGTCCAGACATACGCACACCTGTGACAATAGGAAACACAAGTCAATACAATAATACAAACAAACTTATACGTATCTATAAGTTAAAATCAATGTAATCTTCATGTTATTGTTTTTTGACGGCGGTCCAAAAGATCAATTACGAATATTTTCGTCTACAAAAACAGATAAAAATCTAAGCACTAAATTAATCTGACAGATTGTATCGAAGTATGCCTGATGTTCACCATTTGATCAATTTTGAAAACCTTATCTGCCCCCTTAGACTAATATGTAAGCGATTTATTAAATGTCTTTGTTCGTTTATAGTTATCCTTTACATTTTGTTACAGGTTATAACGCGAAATGCAACTGGCATACGGGGCGTACTCCACGCAACTTTAGTGGCATTCGACAAACAGTGGAATTTGGCACTAGCTGACGTCCTAGAGATTTGGAAAAGGAAAGGGCAGAAGAAGCGGAAGATCCCGCCAGGGCTAGGTGAGAGTTTATCTTACAAAATACTTAAAAAGAAACCTTTTACAATCACGCCACGTTCGATGTGTGTTAGCAGAGGTTAAATAGTGATACTAAACAGCGATAGTAAGTTGGGAGATACTTAGCTGTAGGCGCCTAACCAAATCTGAAATCTGTGACCTATTTCGGAAGCTAAAGCTTTTTATGCGTACGGCCCATCGTTACCGCTACGTTAAAAAAAGGATACTTGTTGGGTGACACAAAAGATTAAGTCAAAGAATTTATATAATGGTTTTTATTTAACGATCAATTATGATTATGAGACATTATTTCTTAAGAAATTGGAAGGGCAAACGGTAGGTAGAGACGAGAATATCATAAGAGTGTCGTCTGCGTTTATTATAGGACTATTATGTGAAATAATGAAACGTATGTTACTCGGAGAATATTGATCACTATAGATATTAAGGGTACCGCAAAATTGACGACAATAGAATAAGATAACGAAGTAACAGACACCTAGATTTAGACGTAAACAGATCGAAAGGTGGGAAATCACAATGACAACTAATACGGCTGTGATATATAAATATATCCAGACTACAATAGACATCAATTTGTTGATAATCCCCAAGCAAAATCTTGTAACTAAAATCTAATCCTATTTTGTCGAAGTTCCCAACATAATCGTGGCACGTGTATTATCTATTTATATATCAGACGGTTAGTTCAACAGTAATAAGTAACTTAATTGTAATATAACAGTTATATTAATGTTATGTAAAGAAAGTGTGTGTATTATGCGGTGTGTGATACGGCATTTTATAAGGTGTCCCACTTTCACTGAGCAAATATATATATGTATATATATTCGCTTTTCATCAAATTTAACTGTCTGGCGGTGTCTCGTCACGTAATAATTGTTAATGTGTTGTTACATGTATATTTTACAGCGTTTTTTGTTTTTTTTTTTTACCGTAGATATTGGTAATATTTTTTGGGGATGCATATCGTTATGGTACTTGTGTTCACCAGGTACACCGGTCCCGAAAGGTACAGCAGCGAAAATGTGCTCAGTGCCCATTGTAACGGAGACACCGCTCGGTGGTGGCGTGTGGGAGTGCACCAGGCATATACCACAGATGATGGTGCGGGGCGAACACGTGGTTATCGTGAACGTGGTCGAGAGGTGATCGGATTGTTGTTTGGAATAGCATTTTGTAACCTGTACCCTATGGACTCCTGGGGGTACATGAGTTATTACGGGGGTCTCCCGACTCATTGATGGACTTCAGATGGATGGAAGGTGTGAACTTGGTCTTTTGTGAACACGGAACCTGTAAAGCGGCTGAAACGTCATGAAAAAAAATACAAACGCTCTGAAATCGTTTCAAGTTGTTTCATTTAATGGATAGTGCGCGTGTACATATGAGAAATCAGTGAGGACTATTTATTAATAATATATAAATAGATGTTACCAAAATTTCTTAATCACTATGCTTATTTAGCACGGCTAACGAGCGCTCGCATGATTGTAACTTAATTAGGATCTACCCTGATGTAGTTCTAAGAGAGCAGCAACAGCTTTCGTGTTTTTTATTATTAATAAAGTAAAAAGAACGAAATTTTTATTGATTGGGGTTCTATAGACTTTAGTTTTTATTTCTAAACAAAAGATATACTTAAAAAACAGAATAAGAAAGCAATAATATTGGCATATTAGCAGTATCCTGTTGATTATAATATAGAGGAAAAGCAATATAGTGATACGACTCGAGTAGGATTTTGTGACTCGAGTCACTCGAGCTAATTTACTACCTCTCTCAAACATGCTACTCGATTGAGATTTCTCTGAGTAATTTTAAGCAAGTAGTATAAATTATACTATAAAATATTTTAATATAAATAAAATACACATTAAATATTATTTATTTAAGTAATCAAGAAAATAAAAAAATACGCGGCATAGATTAATAAATTAGAGTAGCTAAGTGACATCTGGTAGCAAGAGAATCAACTCGATGTGCCGAGTTGACCTGATAACTCGAGTGATTTTTTTTTCATTCGAGTACGAGTTTGAAAAATTCACTCTAGTGACTCGAGTCGCATCACTAAAGCAACAGCGCAAATATCTTTGTTTTTTGTTGGTGGTAACGTCACTGTTTGTTGTAAAAGGTTTACATAACTTATTAGAATGCAAGTTGCTTTTTAACAAAGAAGCGTACTAGATTATTTGTAATGGTAACTTATTCTATAGAATATTGTTTACCTATAAATATTTCTTGTTAGTTCTGTAATAATGTTTAGCTGTAAACAACATGTTAAGTATACATGTTTCAATATTGTGTCCGTCCGACATGTCTTCCTGAGTCTCTGTAAAACTTGTTCACATATTATCATCGTTGACCATGTGCAGTTATTATATTTTATAGTTTCAACGATGTTTTTTTATTTATATTAATATCTGACGTTTAGATGTCAATTAAATAAATTGGTGATTTTATATTCACAGATATGAAATTATGTTTAAACTTTTCTTTCGGTATAATAAAAAAAAATCAGTTCGACTGTATTCACTTGTAATCTAATGTTTGAGAATATTTAACTGTTAACATGTGACATTAAGTTTTTATAAAATTTCAATAGATTTAAATGATAGAACTCGGCAACTTTAATTTTTTTACTATTTCTAAATATGGCACGTTATCGAGCAGTGTTAATATATTCGATCGATAATGCTCAGATATCGATAATTAAGTATTAACATGACGTCGGTCGATATGTTACAATTTTTATGTAATATAATAGTACGCATTGATTACATAACTATACTATTTATTACTTATTCTTTAAGTACTTGTATTTAAACAAGTAGGTATTCTTTCAAATATGAATATTACTGTGAATTAAAAATTATGAAACGTAGTTTAATTAAACCTTTGTAAACGAAAAATAAGCCATTATAATTAATTAAGAGGACGTTTAAATCAAATTGGCTCCAAATCAAATTGATTGTGTACTTATTATAGGCCGCATTTGTTAATTATAAAAAATGAGAAAATTACGTCATATTTATTTCTGAACATACTAACCTAATATGTAATAGAATTATGTTATAAAAAATATACATATCATTATAGGTATATTTGATTTCTTCTTGATACTAATATTTTTTTATAGTCATTATAAAAGTTCTCCATAAAGTCTTCGATTACAAAGTAACATAAATTTTTATCGATTTCACCTAAAAAAAAGAAAATGGTGAATTTTCGATGTAACCTTTTCATTTTTTTTTATAAAGATGATATAATTTTGTCATCTTCCATTACAGCTTATTTGAACGTTGTTTCATTGTACAGGCCTAATTAAAGAATAGTGACGTGTTATTACCAGTGGTCGGATTAGGTAGAGTTATTTATGTACTTACACTGATTTCATACAGCGAAAGAATAAAGTGTATATGCTTCAAATCCCGAAATTAATTTTAAAGAGCAGAAAAATCCCGTGATTTTTAAAAAAAAAGTTATTTACTTTTACACAATTTAAACTACTGCACTCACGACGTTGCTAAACTTACATCAATGAAAGAAAGAAATAAAGAAAGAAGAAATAAAGAAATCTCGGGAAGGTCCACATTCATATCAACATTTCGATGCAAGTACATAAATAACTCTACCTAATTCCGACCTCTAATTATTACACACCCTGTTTGTTAATATTTTTTTTTGTTTACTTATTTATGTCAAAGCTTTTAAATATAACAAATTATATTTACGATTGGGTAAAAGAAATTAACGTTGAAATGCAGGTGATAATTAATGTAAATATTTGTCCGGCTATATAGAGAGTAACATCAAAGTTTGCTTACATTGATTTTACGGCGTTCCGTAAACAATTTTATTTCTAGGTTTTTAACAAATCTTAACCCGCTTTATTTAATATACCGCATAAAATACTCATTACCGGTTTTAGTAAATGTTTATGGATAGTTATTTTAGATAGGTAGTGTAGGTAGTTCTTTTCAGGTACTATATATCACGTATACATATATAGTATTATTAATAAACAAGGTTTAGCTTTGAAATAAATTTACGCTGAGACTGTACTTAGTATATGTTATTATTAGTCTTAATTCATATTATTAAACAGAGACTTAGCAAAAAATATCTAGTACGAGATTCTACAGGAGTAATATTAACTCCTAGAAGGTAGTAGATTTGCTTTTTCCCTGTATTAATATGAATTTGAAATAACACTGAAATTGCAATTTTAGAGTGAATTTACTCTGACACTAAACCTTGTGTATGAATAGCACTAATAGATAGTTAAGATAAAAATGGTATGTAAAAGCATATTACGTTTTAATATATTTGTGACTCCTATTAAAAAAGTAAAGAAAAATTGAATATCAAAATTGTACTTATTCATTTTAATACAAGTTTTATTTAATATCCTATAACTAAATTCGATTGCAAAACTTTATTTCGACATTTGCAATTTCTTAGTTAATGATCATAATTTTAAGGTGCAATTAAATTATTCATAGCACATTTGAATTCGTCGCACGACGTCGGCGATATTCTCAGTATTGTCAACCGGAAAAAAAATAAAAATATATACCGACACAATGGCTGTTTGGGCCCGATGCGTTTGCAGACTTTTTAAATTTCATCCGCGGTCATGGGAACACGGCGCCGACTGCCAAACAATGGCGGCGAGATCCTGTGTCACTCAATTAGTGAACTGTTGTGTCACTCGTAATTTGTAATAAGTTTGTTAAAATGTTACAATATTAAACTTTTTTTGTTTGTTGAATTAATGCGTTTTATTTTTACTTCATATTTGAAATTCGCAAATGTTTACATAATAATCGCATCTCAATTTTACTTCCTACCTGCATGCGTAGCATGACGAACTCGAGAACGTTTTGTCTTTTTGACAGCAGAATTTTTAAAATCGGTCCAGTAGTTTTGGAGCCCATTAGATGGAAACAAACAACCAAGTCTTTTATGATATTAGTATATATAATAATATTGGACTACAGGTACCTATAGATAATATAATAGCAAAAAGACTACGTGATTTGTAAAATTAACCATTATCCTACTAATGTCTTCTTTGCTGGATCATATAATTCCCCATAGATGAAATTAAATATAACGAAATGACTATTTCAGAATTAAAATTGATAAAATAGAAATTAACTATGATTGAAGAAATTGCTATCATTTTAAATCTAATATATCTATCAACATTGTCATTAATAACAAAAGGGCACGTGACTGACGAATGTCGCATTTTCCTTTAATGTCACAGTGCATTAACAGCGGGCCGCACCCCGCGTGGGCGTCTGGACCGCCGCCAGGGGGCGTCAACCCGCCCGCCGAAATAGTAATGCACGCAGCGAGAAAATCTTTAGAAAAAACTAATGGAAACTTTATTACGAATACAATATAGATCATTGTACTCGGTACGTGGTGGTCCAATAGGGTAATACACTGCAGATAGACAGGTAGGTACATATGTATTGAACGCCTAATTGGGTTTCAATAAGCCGTTTTTTCCAAGTACTTTGCCTTGATTGTGTGATAATGGAAAGTATAGTGTTCTCTCATGATAATGTAATTTTAAATTGTAATGTGCCATATCCCAGTCAATTCCCTATTCGCTCAGTGTAATAACAGCAGGGAGTACCGACATAGATAATTATATATTGTGTGTGTAAACAAACAATACGTTAACTCTGTAACGTAGAATTAGTCACCGTCGTCGCCCACGCACCGCATCTGCCCAACACATAGACCTGCCATGGTCATGACCGTGTCATGTAAGGAGTAAGATACGGCACTGTAATTACATTAAACATTACATAATAATCCAAAACTTTCCACAATACATTTAAAATTGACACGTAAAACAGCTTTGTAATGTTTAATATCCATGACAAAGTTGCAAAGAGATCGAGTCCATTCAAAGAGATTTCGAGCATGATTTAGTGCTTGCAGCGGAGAAAGTTTTGGGTTGAATGCATATTTTGCCTTCGCCACAATCTAGAAAAATTGTGATTTGAATTTCGAATGATGATGACGTGAAAGCATGCGGGAGCAGAGCAAGCAGGCAGACGAGACAAGCAGTAGCAAGCGAGCGGGCGACTGAGGTCGACGTACGGTCGGCTGCGGTCACCACGCGGCCGCGGCGGGAGCGACGCCCGCGGGAACCGGCGTGAAAATGGGAAAACAATTGTTGCAAACAATGCGTAGTACAATGCTTCCGTATTGAGGGTTCAGGTAATAGCTTCATGAAACGAGGAAACGTAGACTGTTGAAGAAAACAATTTGATAACTCATTTTTTTGCAAATTAATAAGAACTTTTTTGTTAATGTCTTGCTCTCATGCAATATGCGTATTGATCCATATAAAAATGCATGCGTATAAAATGCTGACCTTGTAAAATGAATGGTTATTATCATTGTTTGTTTACAGTTTTATACGTCGGAATAACCTGTGTTAATAAAGCACAAGTAAGTTCATGTCAAACAAACATCTTTAGATCCTACTTCAGTTCTAGTTAGAAAAATATCAGAATATTTAAATAGTATTTTAGCCTTTTTATTAGTTGTTTCTTTAACATTATAGCCAATACTATATCACCTACTTACCACTTCAAGATGAACTCGAGGCTATAGATAAACAAACGTAATATGTTAACGCAAAATATCACAAGCAATC